CAATGTTTTCGCAACAGCATGCTTTTACAGGCTCAGGTTTGGTATTTAATTCGAGTGTGTANGTAGTTGGGGGGGGGAGGGGGAAGGGGAAGGGCCGGCGTCTTTTTGAATTTTGAATTTTTGAATTATCGAAGACTGCTTAGAGATGCCTCTTAGCCATCTAAAAATATCGTTTTCACCAAACTTTTAGAAGGGAAGGAGCTCCGGGATGTGAGGTGATCACTATGTGCAAAAAGGTGGGTTGGGGAAAATTTGAACATCCAGTTGGCTCACCTACTGATAAGCTCCTTTCGTTCCAGACTTAGGTCAAAAAAGCACATTCCCATTTTCCCTACTAAACGTTCCTAAGCACCATTACGGGCTCGCAATGTCGGCAACGCTACCTCTCCTTTCCTGCGCTCCAGCCCTTAGCACATTCAAAGGCGCTGCATCATAGCGAGGCTTGACAGCCTTGTTCTAATATCATACGAGGATTTGATCCTGCGTCTAATAGCAGCGCTATTTGAGACTATTCAGCCTCCAGCCACGTATATAAAATTGAAGACCGGATTCCTCCTTACGATTAGATTCAAAACTATGAAATAGAATCGCTGCAAACCATAGTGAACATTAGAGTTCCTGTCTTTCTGGAAATCTTGAAAAGACTGAGTATTAACCCGTCCTAACCTCACTATATATAAAGCGCTCGCGTCTGTCTGCCTGCTTGCACAGAAATTCGATATTACCTAAAGATGCACCCGCAGAAGTCGGGCAAATTTGAGATGGGTTAGGCATGGGTCAAGAACATAGCTCATGTGAGCTCAGCGGAGCTCCGCCCACAGGGGGAGGCATGCACGGCAGTGGATGTTGTCTTTAGGAAAATGTCTGAAATAGGTTTAAAACAGCCAGGCGGGAAAACATAGGCAAAGGTGAGGGATAGGTCAACAAGTGAAGTGAAGGAAGCTAGCCGGAAGTGGGCGGGGCGTTCTCTCAGTGGGCGGTATTTACCACATAAGACCACAACTCGATTCGACTGAAGCATGAAGGCCAGAAAAAAACAAACTAAGTGTGAAAGGCCCTATGCGCGCCGGGCATATGTAAGTATATCGAAACTCAGCCCACAGTGGGCGGAGCGTGCATTCAAGTGTCAGGTCCTTTCTGAAGAAATTCATAAGTCTATTGATCGAAAACTTTGTAGAAGGCGGAAAAAGAGTAGCCGGAGGCTATAGAAGGTCTGTAGTCAAAACCCAGAGTGAATTGCACCAAGGAGGGTGGGGCCAGGACCAAAAATTCATAACTCTGTTCAAAAATGTTCTGAAACACGGGAAAAAGTAGTTAGAGGTGAGGGAGAAAATGTGGTCGGATACCTGACTTGACTCGAGTTTGCACAGGGCTTGGCGGGGTCAACAGTAAGATCGAAAATTCATAATTGTGATTGAAAACGTTCTAGAACGCGGAGAAAATGCTGCAGCTAAAGAGAGTTGGTCAAAGTTTCATGGTGGGGTATGCGCGAGGTAGACGTTGCCTTGTTCAACCACTACTATCCGCACAAAAGAAATCGAGCGAATGCTCTCAAAGCAGTCCAAAACTAGGAGGAACTATTTATTGTGATCACCTAACACTGCGCTAAATGACTCCATCGTAGATTAGCTATCATATGTATAGTGCACGCGTTAGCGTTCATAGCTTAAGTTATAAGGTTAGAGTTATAGATTGCATGAGATGTGAAAAAAGGTGTCTACTTATAATAACCAAATTTTCAGCCATTTCAATGCCAACCAATGCCGAATCCAAGGTATTCTTATGCAGAAACGGATTCATGTTTGGTGTGTTGTGAACCGGGAAAAGCAGAATTACCTTAAAATTCCATAGATAAGAGCGGTTTAATCTACCGGTGAAAAATGAATTGGAAAAAATTGAAATTGAATGCAGTCACCCCTCTAACTTGATGGATGGATAAATAAAAATCGGAAGAGAAGTTTAGAAAAAGCTCCGCCTCCTCAACTCTGAACCCCGCCCACTTAATAAACAATTCACATAGAAATATAGCGACTTTAACGGATCGCTGTTTTTCTATNGGAGCCTCTTCTAAACTTCTTCTCCGATTTTTATTTATCCATCCATCAAATTAGAGGGGTAACTGCATTCAATTTCAATTTCACTCCCATTCATTTTTCACCGGTAAACTAAATCGCTCTTATCTATGGAATTTTAGGGTATTCACAATGAGGGTCCACTCGGCTTTCCCAAGAATGGACACTTTTTAAATGAAAAAGTCAGAAAAACAACCACAAAGGATATGGCAAGGGCAGTAGCGACTAACGAAACTGCGCATTACCTTTCATACTAATGGAAGTCGTGAGATTAAAGCAGTGAAGAGGAGAATAGTTTCTCTCATATCCCGAGAAAACGTGGCATTGATGGTAGCTCCACATTTAATTTTACATGCGAATAAGAGTTCAGGCTGAAAATGGGCAAGTACGCTTCTGGAACACGGCTTCCAAACGTTAAAATGTGTTCGAGCACGTTGATTAGGTTGTAGGTCAATATCTAGAAATTTGGGAAGTGGTAAAGTTCGTCTTGTAGTTGCAAAAAAAAATCAGAGCTATAGTTCTACCTGTGAATACCGGTTTTCTAACATGGCATAAAACATCAAACCATGCCTATCTTAGTTCATAGAGTTCTTATTTTTGAAGATGAAGGAACTTCTTTCTGTAAATGTATCATCTGCATGAGAAAAGCGATACGAGAGGCCTTCCTTCCGTGACGATTCACCATTCCCATACAGTGCGTTTCATAATTATAAGGTCACCCTCAAATATGCACTTTCAAAAAAAGCAATCATTAAAGATTTCTGGGTATCCGTTTTTTAGCCGCAGCTGCATTTTTCTGAACTTTTTTTTAAGAACAGTTCATCGGTTTTTGCACCGTTTCATAATTATAAGGTCACCCTGAGAAAGTGAACAATTCTTCATGGAGGAGAGGAAATTTCTTGTTTGAAGATACTTTTAAAGGAAAGCATGTGTAGCAAATGCATTTCTAAACCTGACTGTCAACATGGCTCGTGATCATCTGCTTTATTCTAATGAGAAGACTCATCATGAAGGTGGGCTCAGTACCCGAGCCATCTCCAGGCAAATAGGGAGATACCCTTGGTCCATTCAAAGATTTCTAGAGAGCCCTGATGTCCCTAGATATGACACCGGCTGTAAACACCCATAAAAGATTACTGCCCGTGACGAGCGGAAGATTCTGAGAACTGTTTCCAACAGTACGTCCTCCTTGAACCAGATCCGATCGGAATTAAACCTCTCTGTGTCGAAAACTACAGTCTGGAGAGCAGCGCGAAGATGCGAGAACATCACCAGGCAAGCAATGGAGAAGGTGCCACGAATCACCGACCGCCACAGAGCGGCTCGACTCGGATTTGCAAAGATGGACCTGGGGAGAGATTGGGCAAAGGTAGATCTGCATCAAAATCTCAACATGGAGCTGAATAACTTCCATTCAGGTCGTCTTTTCGGATGAAGAAATTCAGTCTGGACGGTCCTGACGGAAACAAGCGATACTGCGCGACTTGAGGAAGGAACCGTCTACTTCAGCCGTCGCAATTTCGGTGGAGGAGGTCTACGGTGTTGGGTGCATTCTGTAATGATGTCGTGTTGGATCTACCTGTCGTGAGCTGCAGTATGGATTTCAAGGATTACCAGAACGTCTTG